CAAAACAAAAAAGAGAAGGTGATTAAGTCATGTGCCAGTCCGAATCCCACAGTGAAGGCAGTATCAGGCCATACCAAAGACCACTGCTGCACATGGTGGATTTAGCAGCTATTTCCAAAGTCAGATTTCTGAGCAGATGAGACTTTTGTCTGCCAGTTTAGACACATGGGTTTTATTCCTTGAATTCACACAAATAACCAAGACAGCTCTATACGAGATTAGCTACAAAAGATCTCTATGTTATTAACCATTTCAGGATCACTTGCACCTACCTTGCTAGTGTCAGAAGAGAGTGACCATGGGCCTGATCTTGTACCACAATTCAGCAGTCTTGTAAAGGAGGAAAATAACAAGTGCTGTAAAAAGTTATGTTCACACAGAACATGGGCTGCAGTTCAAAAGACCACTTTAATACATACCCGAGATCTACAGACCTCAATTATTTCTGAACTCTGGACTGATATACTTCACTTCTCTGCTTATACATTGTAAGAATAAATCACTCAATTCTATTACCGTGTTTTGCGTGAAATGAATGTTAAATATTTTCATAAATACAGGCTGTTTTTTTAAAGAGAAAAGAGTGTTTTAAAATACAGCATTTCTTTTAATAGAATATAAATGGTGAAGCTTCAAAAATAATACCTCTAGAGAGTGAGTCCTTTTCCACCGTGATACAAGGCTGGCACTTTAAGCCATTAGGCTTTACAATCTGTAATGACCTTTTAGAGAAATTTACAGCAGGTAAGTTAGTTATTCAGAAGTTCTGCTGCTGCTTTCCATAGTACAAAGTTAAAAAGAATTTATTATTATTATTTTTTTTTAATACAAGTATTTAGACCTAAATTCTTGGTCTGCTTCTTGCTTCATAAGAAGTTTAATGGGCAGACTCTGCTCCACCAGAACAGCTCAGCTGGCATGAGAAAGGTCTTGTGAGTAAGTATAAATTACTGGAGGATCAGGTTGGATTTGACACACTGCAGATCCATCAGCATCTTCCAGTACCAGTACAGCTGGGGAGAGGGGCAGGTCTAAGGCAGAGGAATCTATGTCCCTCCAGAGAAAAGTGTACACCTTTTCTAGGAGAAGCCTCCTTTCTATTTCTCAAAACTTTCCCAGGATCAAGTGAGATGTGTTCTTCCACTTGTATGGTCAATCTTTCTCAACAGTGATATAGAATTTCAATTCATACTGAAGTAGAGCAAAAGTTCAGGAATACACCTCTAGCCCAACCTCTCTGAGTAGGTCAACACATGGACTGTGACTCTGCCACCTCTTCACACAGCAGTATCCATGCAGAGTTCCCAGAGTCCTTTCAAGTAAGGGGAAAAGAATCCTTCCTTACACCACTACCTCCACCACCCTCCAAAACCCCTCAAACTCACCCTAGACTTTACTAGTTATGACTTTTCTGTATATCCTTTTCTAAAGTTCATTGCTACTGCAATGTTTTCCTACAGGTAGTCTTGCCTATTATTCCGTATCTTGGTGGGTGCAGTAGGTACACCTGAAAAACAAATCTGGCATCCAGACATCTGCTTCAGTTGTTTTATGAAGGAATCCAATGAGACAGCGCCTGGTTTTGGAGTGACACATGGAGCTCTTGGGCTTTTTGCCACATTCACTGTTACGATCAGAGCTTATTGCTCCCAGCCTGATGTCAAGCAGAGACTAATCAAATGTGAGATGGGTGAACAGAGGCAGAGTCATGGAGCTGGCTCTTCATAATCTGTTACTATTGATCTTCTTTATACTGCAGCAGCACACAGGGGTCCCGATCATGGAACTAGACCATAGCACATTGTCCAGAAATCTCAGTGCCTTTCTTCAACATGATACTTTATTCACTGTCTTGCTGCTGAAGAGACCAGGCAGAATTAATAGAGAATAGTCTGAGGTGGAAATACATGAATTGAAAAGATAAATTGAAATATCAGGCTCATATTGCTTTGTGATGACAATATCCTGGGATGCTGCCAGTGTTCCCCATGTTTTGTAGCTCCCCCTGACTCTACTTGGAATGGGTGACATTTGCCAGGTCTTCATAACATCATTCTAACAACATATCATCTAAAAATGTTGATTCTGTAGGAAAATGGCTGCTGACACATTAGCAGTAGGTGCACAAAAAGGATGTCATGTCTGCTGAACACATAGTGGAGGAATTCCAGCTACTCCCATGTCACACATCCAGTGAGGGTCTGTTGCACTGGACTATCTTTTGCTCATGATTTCATCAGCATGCAGTTCAGTCTGAATCTAATGGTGATAATCTTCTTCCATTAATTTGTAAGATGAGAAAACACATCCACAAACCAGAGATTAATAATTTACGTTTTTTAAATAAATCTGTGCTGTGAACTTACAAGGTTTCTTTCCAAATCCAAAGACAGAAACAAGTTCAATGAAGATGAAAGTCACTGAAGATCTTCTGATAAAAGCAGGAAGGTGGAGGCTCTAATGAATGCATACACTACAGTGCACATCTTGCCAACATTTCTTAATGAATAATATGTGCACTCAGATGAGAATAATATTGATTGAGGTCTGCAGGGAAAGTTCTCTAGGAAAAATTTTTATTCTAGGAGCAGAGTTCTCTGTGGAAGATTTTGATCTTTTCCTGCTGCAACCTTTCTCCTCCCCTCTCTTTGTGCTACCCAAAGCAACTGACAGCCAAAAAATGAAAAGCCTGCCCTGCATCTAATGTATCTATCAGATCCAGAAAGAAATGTATATACTGTTACTAAGAATGGCTGCACCATTCTCCTTAGCTGGTAGGGGACACAGCAGTGTGTAATTAGGAGTGGATTACTTTACTCAGAACTGGAACAGGGAGCAGATGTCATGCATTAATATTGGCATTTGATTTCACACACTTTCTCTACCATGTTTGCAAAACAATTTGCCTTCCTATCTTGGATCTTGCCTTGCTTTTACCCTCAGGTTGCTGTAATGCAAGCAAAAAGTCACCAGTGACAATATGGAAGTACAGGCCCATACAGAGTGAGTAGAGTTTGTGATTTAATTCCTAATATAAAATATCAAGTTATTTTTTGATTAGGTTGATTAGATTAATATGGACAGTATGTTTTACTAGATGCCAGCTCAGACAAGAGGTCATGCCATTGTTAAGTTAAGCCAACAGCAAAGAAAGATACAACTTATTCCACATTAATGTTATCAGACACTATCTGTATTATGAGGGATGCATCTCTCTTCTCAAACATAGCCAAGATTTTCTTCACCTGTTTTTCCACACAGAGGACTTCAGTTTTGATTTTGCTTCAGTTCAATATTTCATATACAGAATCCTTCCAGACAGCCCACAACAAAATTTCATGCTGTTAAAAGTATTTGCCCCAGTTCTGAATTGCAGCCAGCTTGCATTTGATAGCAGCTTTATGGCTGCAGCTGGGTTCTGGAGGTTTCTTAGGAGTAAAAGATGATCTGCTTTAATTTAGGAGCATCCAGAGGCTAATTACAATGGCCTATACTACAGCAGCACAGAATAATCATAATATACCAGGCAGCAGGGAGCCCAGCAGAGCGATACTGACAAACTCTAGCTTCATATATATGGGTACAACCCAAAGAGAATAACCACTGGAACTCTGCTGCAGTGATATGTTTGGTTTCACCATTTGCTTAACTTGGTGATGGAGGATGCATATCAGACCCAAACCAGTAACACCAGCACCAAACTTGTAACATACCTATACACTCACTTGTAGGTGGCAACACCTGTTAGTGTCATGCAGGGCATTACCTACACAGACGCTTTGGGAAGAGCATCCACTCCTCTATCCAGACCTATGTAAACCCACCTCAACTGCCTTTATTCTATTGCAAATCTATCCACTGAGGAAGGGTGTGCCTGTGACTGCTATAACAGAGCCACAGCAGAGAGACTGAAAGATTTTTGCCTTTGTCCATTCCCCATGAAAAATTATCCCTTTTTATGCCTACTCCCTGTATGCAGTGGTGGCAACTCCCCTAGTGGAGTTGTGTTGGACATCTTAAAAAAATGACAAGTTGCCTTAAAAAATTAGGAAAACACTACTGAAATCAGATGGGCAGATTCACATTCTTCTGGTCCATCAGCAAATGACAGAAGTGTAAGACCTGCTATCCTAAGACAAGTAAATAGCTGAAGTGAAATGGTAGTGGTTGTCACAGTTCTCTTTAAGCAGGTGAGAAAGTTTGAAAGCTGTAAAGATAGCTACTGAAATGGTATCATTCTGTGAGTGAGAGCTAGAAAAGCTCTGCTCGCAGGGGAGGTCAAGAAGTGAGAGCCCAGTGGATCATTTGTTGTGGTTTTAATGCTTCATGGCTCAGGGTCAGTCAGAAATCCCTATCCTAAGGTCACGGTTAGGGCAGTCTGGAAAACAATCTTGTTTCTGTTACTGGCAAGGCCTTGCCCAGGCTCTGCTTTTTCTCTCTCTTACAGCAGATTATTTCAGCCCACTCCTCCTGCTCATCATGCTATGGTTAATTTCACGCTAGGCACTGACATTCAGCTTCTCCAGGATCACAGTCACCCAAAGGATCTTTCTTCCCTGTAGCAGTCCATAGCATTGCAACATGATGCAACAAATAGCCAACCCAAGCTAACCCTGGGTAGCATTCAGGGGAGTAAAATTCCATACCATGCCTATTGATAAGCAAGCAGCAATATTAATTTTTAGCTTCAATTTTAAATGGCATCAAGGAGACAGAATGAGGAGCATGGATGGCAGCAAAGTTGTCTGTTAACTAAATGAGCCCTATTTCTACTGCACTAGATAGCCCCTTGCCACTGCAGCAGCGCAGGCTACACTTCACAGATGGCAGTGTGACATGCAGCGATAATCATGTCTTCTAACCCGCTTAGGAGATGGTTTGACTTAGGAGAAGCTGAGAAGCACAGTTTAGAGGGCCCACTAATAACTACATCTGTTTTAAATAGACATACTTTAACTACATCTTCCATACCAAACAGTCATTGGAGTCAAGCGATCACTTTAAAAGGCAGAGACACAACTTTGCAGTATTTTACAATGGATTTAATAGCTAAGCCTTAAAACAAAAAATACCACCATGAAAGCACACAGCTGAATCACAGGCATTTAATGAACACCACTCACTGCTTAAACGTGAATTCACACTACAACAGTCTTGCAAATGATCTATAATACCCTGTATTGCTAGTATAAAAAATTTGCATAAATATACCTCAAATATTTATAAATCAATAGATATAAGCATGCATTTAAAAGTGAGGATCAAAAGTACATTACACACAGAGTTCTTACACACTCTAATTAATTTAAATAATCACATTTTGCCTTATTAAATTAAACATTACATGGATAAAATATAGCTTGCCATCAATTCTAAGCACTAAAATACTGCTAGAAAAGAGTACTACTGCCAATAAACAGAGAGAGAACGCACCCATAGAAGAACACTTAACTGAAATGTAGCTGTAAGATCTAATGCCATGGAATGACTAACAATAATATATATATTACTCTTAAACAAGCAAGCAATTTTGGATAACTTTCCACTTCTTTGTCTGGTACTCCAGTTTCAGCCTAGTGAGCCGTAACTGTGCAGGATAAGCAGAAAGCAGCAAAGAGTCTGCTAAAAGAGTTGCACATTTAAAAAAGGTCTCCTCAGAAGCAAGGATAATTCCTTATTTCCTTCAGCAGCTTATTTACTGGTGCTTCCCTACCCTCATGTAGTTAGAGCTAAGAAAACATCTGCAACAACCATCCCTGATAGTTTTTCAAATTCTTTCCAACTAAGATTTAGCAAGAGGCACAAAGAAGCACTGAGACGGCTGTGTAGTTTGGAACAAATTTCTTGGTCAGTCCCACTTTAGAGCTTTTATATACCTAAGAAGTCTACCCTGCCTGAAAGACAGTGATTAAAGCATTTAAAGAGTACAGAGATTTTTTACACAGAGTAATATGGTGCTCAGGACTAATTAAATGTAATCTTAAGTACTTTAACTGAGGCATGTTTTATACACTAGGAATCAGTTAAGTGGAAGTTGCCAAATTAAACTTGCATCTTAATTTTGCTGTTAACTTAATTTCAAGAGATTATGCATCGTAATTTAAGAATGATTTGAGAAAGCTTTCAGTGGAACAGTCTCCGTTAAGATGGCTTCAGGAGCACTGCAGAAGTCTGAAAAAAGAAAGCACACAAGGGAAATCTGACATACTCAAGAGCAAATAGTTGAAAATAACAACAACAAAAGTGTTGCAATTAAGCCCCAAATAATGCAGGTGGCATCACATGAGGGGGTCTCAGTCAAGAGAGACTCAGTCTGCACAAGGACATTAAGCGAGTTGGTTCGTTTTCAGGCAAAAGCAATAAAATCGGGATTTTTCTTTCTCCAACATGCCACAAGTTAATTTGCCACATGTAATAACATGATGTAGTGATTCACGTGCCCTTTCTTTGATGAATGCTTTTCTCAAGCATATATGACTTTGACAAATTCTGGGGAGAAGGGGATATAATAAAGCTTTTGGGAATGAGGCAGGAGGTCTTGCAGCTAAAACACTAGACTGGAATTAGGGAGACTTGGCATTTATTCCAGTCTGGTATATGTTTTCCATACAACTTTCATACAAAATCTCTTAGGCACCAGAGCAAAAGTCAGACTGATGAAATTCTTCATAAATGTTTAGGTGCTCTTGGCAGAAACATTTGTGGGGGTGTTGATCGATGAGAAGTTCAACATTACCCAGCAGTGTGCACTTACAGCCCAGAAAGCTAACCATATCCTGGGCTGCATCAAAAGAAGCACTCTATGATTTATTTAGAAAACTAGTGGCTAGATGGCTAAATAGATGAACTATGAGTATAATCCTAGGCTAACTCAGCCCTGGCCACCCATCCCCATGCTGTCTTTTGGAAGGATTGTTGTTGTTGCTATTATTATTTATTTATGTATCTATTTACATAGATTATGTCAGTGATTGGGGCTAAGGAATGGTCCAATAACTAGAACGCAACTTCAAGGGCAGCACTTAGAATACTGAAGGGAAAGAGAACAAATCGGCTGGCTCTGCTGAACACCTGTGTCCTGTGTGTAGGTCCTCATATCTGTGTACCCCAAGCTACAAGCAGACATACCTTGACACAAAATGGTACAGTGGTGACATCTTTCTTCTTATAATACGAGCAAATAGCCTGACTTCTCTCATAACAAAATACACCATCGTGACCCCTGAGATCATTCCCTAGCAGATGGGAGAGCTGGTATAATTCTTTCATGTGCCTGAGATGTCACCTGGACCAACTAACTAACCAAATAGTCTCTTCTGTCTTAGGGTGTGCTCCTGCAAATTCTCCTGTTTAATTTATGTGTAATCATTAATAAAACATTGGGCTGGAGGATAAAGCATTACTCCAGGTGATGGAATAGGTTACTCATCCTGGTTTCCACTCCCTGCTTTGCAGATTCTCTTTGTGTTTTACATTAAACAGTCTTTGGCTAATCTGTCA